ATTAGTCACAATGATCATTTTACTCTCCCCTTTTAACACTGACCTTCCACTAGACAAGTTGGGTTATCTTTGTTCTTTGTTCATGTAACCAGTTCTATAAGTTTAACTAGTTATATCACAATCTCTGACAAGCTAAACAAATCTAACATAGTAATTTGAAAATTTCTATTTTTATCAAGAAATTATGTTTTAAAACATTAGAAAATTTATCATCAAACGGATTGTGAATTATTATTTTCAATAAAGTTATTTCAAGAGGTAAATCAATTTTTTTAAATATTTAAAACAAAAAAATTAGTAATATTCTAAAATTAATACCTGAATACCCCGATGGACAACGATGTATATCTTCTGTGTTAGCAGCAGCCAAAGACCAATTTATTTTCATGAATTTTTCAGGAGAACATGTAGGAATCTGTCCTTTAACAAACATAATTAATATTATTTAAGGCTATATATGAATTTAAGTTTATTACTGTAATATTTTATAACTTTTTGAAGTAATAAACATTAATTGGCTTAAATTATAAAAAAAATCAACTGTATTGCTGTTATAAAAGATTTAATTTATTAAGTGATAAAGACTAATAAATATAACTGTAAACTAATTATACTTTAATGAAATAAGCACTCAATAAATAGGAATAATAATTTTAATATAAAAATACACTAAGAAATTTATGATTTGAATAATTTTTTTGCACTGTTATTAGATTTTTATTGATTCAAGATATATAAATTAAGGAATATAAAATACACATTTATACAAATAGAAGTAAGATCACTTTAGTAATGAAAATATTGGTGAGAACAAATGGTAAATTTGGATTATGATATTAAAATACCGTATTATGTGAGGATAAGAATTTTTAAAACTGATAAAGAGAAGCTTGGAATATCCTGTTTAAACATCTCAAAGCCCAATGTTATTAATCTAAGTCAAACGATTGCCGCAATGGACCAGATTAATAACATCAGACTTTGAGAGGTTTAATGCAGTGATTATTTGGCTTATCCTGTTTTATATTTATATGCAGAAAAATTATAATAGTTGAATAATTAAATATCAAACCTTGCTAAATTTATTGTATTTTATTTATAATTAGCATAAGTAATTTAATGCTTAGAGAATTAAACTACAAATTGTCATCTGTTGAAAACTTTAGTAATTAATAAATTTGAATTTAATTTAATTTAAATGTCCAAAAAATTATTTGCCTGAAGAGAAATGTAAACAATTTTAACAGATAAGGGTCTAACAAATTATACAATCTAGACTCTAGATATAAACTGACCAAGATATATATTAATTTTAGAATATAATCAAAGTAGTTATTTAATATTATGCTGGTGAATACATCTGATTGTTCACTAAATGGCAATTTCTGGCTATAACTATTCTTGCCATGATATAGGCTGGGAAGCTCAAAATCCTTTGTTACTTGAAATTAATATATTTCTTGTGCTCTAATTTTAACAACTTTTTTTATTTAGATAGAGTTAGATAGCCTAATAAACAGGATTTTAACAATTTGGAGGTCTTATCACACCAAGGCCAACCGAAAACTTTTTTACTTTTGTTTTTCATTTCAGATTTGAGTCTTTGTAAATTTATTATGGATAATTACAAGATTTAACATGAATAAATCTGAATCTGATATGAATATTAGATAGCAAAATATGTACAATATATAACTGTTTGAAATCTGCTTTTAAATCGCTGAAAGCATATTTCAGCAAAGTGAGACTATGGATCACACTGCTGGAATTAGTAATAAAGATTCCAATACATCTTTTCACACATCACTTAATCTCATACTTTGAGAAATTAACTGGTTGCTCCATTTGGCTACTATAACCACAGATTTTTTTTTGTAGTTTCCTAAAAAGGATATGTGTTTATTAAACAATCATGAAAATTCAAATTTCTTGAATGATAATAATTGATATGACTTACCTCATCTAATATCTGGGATATAAGACTATATTAACAATAAATATGTACTACATAAAACTGGATTAATTAAGTCCAATGCACCCAAAACAAACTTTCAACTACAGTTTATAGAAAACCAGAGTATAAACCACTATTCATTCCAATAGAATCTAGAGATCTGTATATATTTAAAACATCAGCCTATAGAGCACTAGTCAAAAGAGCATTCTCGCACTGCATCAAACATCATTGACAGAGAGATTGAACTAAACTACATCGCAAGCATAGAGAAACAACATGGGTATCCTTCCAGCTTTGCCCAAAATCTCATCCATAAATATCAATCTGGGTACGCATCTAAGAAGAACATATCTAAAACCCACAAAGTTGTCAGGTTTAACCTGAGAACAAACCAACTTAGTCTTTTCTACATGAGAAATCCAACTATATTCTCTTTATTACAAAATTGCATTATAGACAACAAATTCAACAAAAAATGGGTCTATATAGGAGCAATGGATCAATCTCTTTACAAGCATATCAAGGAGCCCATTACTCTATCCAAAAGGGCCTTTCCACCACAACATTAGCAACATTTGCATCTGAAAATGATATAAGGGTACTTCTTAATGAAACAAGATTAATACATCCTAGTAGAAACTGGACTTATCTAAAACATCTAGAGATCCTCAAATATACAAGCTAATTAAACAGCCATAAATTACAGGCAAATGACACGGAGATCTATTTTTGAAGTAAGACTATAAATTAAATCTTATTACTTAAGAAAACAATCATTATTTTTTATGTTGGCATTTTTCAACCAAAATGAAATAAATGCTCCATGTGTTTTAAAGTGAAGTTAAAATTTTTACATTAATTTTTGAATGGTTTTAACCTGAAGATAACGATTTAAAAATTGTCAAAAACATTCGTTTTTTTCTTTATTTTTAGTAAGTATAATTTGTGCTGGATATTTCTGATATATTAACATTTGTTGGACTATATTAATTAACTAAAATTATGAAGAGTATCATCACTAAAGTAAGGATATATCAAAATAACAATAGTTATTGTTTATGGAAAATTTTAAGAAATGATATGCAAAAATCTTTCAAAACAATACAGAACAAATTGTTGTCTACAAAATTAGTTTTCATTAAATATTAAATAAGATATAGTAATTAAAAACAAATAAGGACTAATGGATAACCTTGTTTATGTAATGCAATTTCTGTTAACAATTTGGACTGAATAATTGTCCAAATAAGTCCGAAATGCATTTGACAAACCAATAAAAGAAGTTCCTAACCTGAAAGCTGTATATGATAGTCTACCGAACTGAAAATCGGATTAAAGAGACACATTCACGACTTAATTCATATTCTTTAATCATTAAATTACTTAATCAGCTTAATTATTATTCAACCAACCATTCGAATTCCTATTATGTAAGCAAAAATTTACTGTTTAATAATGTAACCAAAACTGTATTTATCCATTGTGTTCAATTATTATTTATCTATCCATTAATATGTTTGTATATACTTNAATAAACCTCACTTATAAATTTCATAAAATCACAATTATTAGTTATTATTAAATACAAATGATATATTACGAATAATTGAACAAAATTATGTACAGGGTATCAGGGAAGCTGTATAACTCCACTTTTTGTTTTTGTAAAGGAGATACCAAAACATATTATATGTCAGAATATATATAAGGTATGTTCTGACATATACTCATGTCTAAAACTTGAGGATGGATAATAAAGACGACTGTAGATGAATGCAGGCAAATATGGAAAGAACTGTATTACTTGATGTCTAACACAAGATAACCACAACATACCTGTTACAAACTAAAGCAATAATTTTAAGTCTTTGGTGAAAAAGATATATACAGTAGTTGGACATAGGTGGAAAATGAATGGAAAGTGAGGCAGAGAGCATCTGTCAGTATGCATTTGCTCTCTGCTTTGTTCAAACATCTGAGCAAATTGATGCCAATTGGCTTGATGATTTTTTTCTAGTTATCACTGCTAGCAATTGTGTTTGTCCTTAAGTTTTGGATATGTGTGTATGTTTTGTATCTCCTTTACATGAACAAAAATATGGGGTTAAATGACTTCCCAGACAATCTGTAGAATTCATGTAATGAGTTTTATTATATTAAGTTATATTAAATCTTTGTAAACTCCAAATTTCAAAGCAATTTCTTTTGTAATAATATTAAACAAATCAAGCTTAAAATTAGTAGTTAAAAGTAATACTATTTATTTAATATTTTTGGTGGTATTCCATCCTTATGATTGTACTAAAATAATGTTATATTTATATTAAAAAAACTTCAAACTAACTAAAAATTTATACAGTGTAAATCTTACGACATTTTTTTAATGTAAATATCTCATCATTTTTATGTAGATTCTGAAGTTAGGGCTTCTTTAAAAAAACTTCTTTAAAGTAGTATGATAGTATAATTGGATTTGGAAATGAACTGACTTGATGATTATTCATCCAAAGATGTTTCCAGCTTCTGTGCAGCCATCTCCAGCATTGGGTAATATGAAGAATAGTATTAACAATATTATATAAATTTAATTATATAAAGGAGCCAATTTCATTCAATTTGACGATTTATTAAAGTTTTGTCACTGGAAGTAAAGGTTATTTAGCATTATCAATTTCATTCATTTTGAAAATAAACAGTACTACTTTTGACTTTTAAATTTAAGCCTGATTTGTTTATTTATTATTAAGTCATCAGTTATTTTCTTGTTATATTTTATTTATATACAATCAAAATATATATTTATGAAATTAAAAAACTTTTTTTATTTAATGATACTAAGTTTACATAATTTGGATATCATTTTTGTATTCATTGTATTAAAATACTTCAAAAATTCAAATAGTTTAGTTAAATCATGCTTAAACAGTTGAAATACTTTTATTTATAAAATCAATAATACAATTTTAAAAATATTAATATTGGTTATTTAACATTAACTATATCTACAATTTTATTTGAAACATTAGTTAATTTCCTTACTTACGGACTGCTTCTGGATTAAATTAGGTGAATCCAGTAATATTGAAACAACATCAAGAAACACCTGTAAAAAACATTTTTTAAAATATATACATATTTTTTTTAATCTGAAAGTTTGTATATAAATTTCAGACTAAAATATTATTATATAATAAATTATGTAATTTTTGTTCCAAACTAAATATTATCTTGCTAATAATCTAAATAATTAACAAAACATTATAAATTAAAATTAAAAAAATTTCACTTACTAAAAAGTTTCCTAATATAATTAAAATTTTCAAATATTGTAACACACAGCCAATATTCTTTATTCTTATTCTTTTCTATTAAATTTTATAGTATAATCTTCTTTATAACTGAATTAGTCATAATTTACAAATTAGACTTTACATTAAGATTTGTCAATTTTATTTTCAAAGAACAAAATGTTTCTATGATATCATTTGGCTGTAGTGCTAGAGTTTTGAGATGCTGCTATTTTTCTACATGCAAAATTCCTTTATAAACAGAAAAGACATGAATGTGATTTTTCCATTTGGCAGGATCTGTATTAGAGTTTGTATTTGTCCATTATTTTCCATGTTAAATTTTTCCATGATAAACTTTTTGGATCATATTGTTTTTTTATCATTCTCAAAGCAATAATTCTAAATATAAAATGATAATTATTGTATTTCTTTCATTTCATCATATTACTTTTCACAAAAATTCGATATTGTTAAAATACCAAGTTTTTTTCATCAGATAAGAACAAACTATTTCAAATAAAATATATATGTCAATATTTATTGTGAAATTTCTTTACAGCTGTCCATCTCCACATCACTAAATTACTAAAAATGTCATTGCCTCAACTACTTATATTTTACAGAATTAAATATATTGTGAATTTGAAACTCACCTTTGAATTATTATGTATCTCATAATATAGCTGAAGATTTTTTTGTTGGTAATTTAAAACTTCTTCTAAAAAATCAACAACAGGTTCTCCCTCTGCAACATGATACCTTGTTTTCTTTGAATTTAAGTAACCCTTTAATTCATACAGTAATGATCCTATATCTGTTATTTGATATCCAAGTTTTAAACTATTAAACTATACATAAAAAAAACAAAAGAAAGTTTAAGTTATTAGAAGTTACTTATTATATTGTATTATACATGAAAAAATATCATATTAAGATTGAAATACAGTGGAACCTGGTTAATTTGATGTTGCATTTACTTGAAGTCATTTTCTTCACCCAATTTTTTAGCATAACATGTTAAATCAAACTGGTTAACCTGAATTCCTCAAAATTTTTTAACTTGAAGTCTGAATTTTTTCCCTAACTGATTAAAGTTAACCAGGTTCCACTGTATGTATATTAACTTTTTCATTTAATTATTATCAAACTATTATGCCAAAAGAAAATTTTAGTAAAAAGTATAATTTAAAAAATATTAGTCTAAATTTCTTAAATTTATGACTCAGTATTAAACTTTAATTCTCATAATTAATACACATGATATATCTTTTCATTTAAATATAATGAATAATATTATATTAATAACACATTGTTTCTATCATCCAATATGAATGTTGCATCCATATTTTCAATTTTTATACTTATAAGGATCAAAGTATTAAAAATAAACTATTTATATCAAACTATGATTGATGTGTAATGCTATGAAAATAACAATTAATGTTAATTATTAGTAGTTTAATATGCATAAAATGTTTTTATTACTAACATGATCAGTAGTTGTGATCAGAGTTAGCTCAAGGAATTGCGATTCCTTGAGTATACTTATGTGCTGGTACCATCATACTAATTATGTTATTATTTTTTATTGTAGGTCTTTTAAATTTTTAGTTCATATCCTAGAGTCACTCTTAATTGTAAATTGTACTTATAAAAAAATTGTAGATAGTAATAAATAGTTGCATAAACTTATAGACAATGTAGGAAATACACAGAAAAATAAAACTCTCAATTCATTTTTTGCATACGTTGCAAATCTCTAACTGTTATATCTATTTTGCTAGAAATTTTATAGAAAATTCAGTAAAGTGTTAAAGAATTTTATTTTATTTTATTTTAATATGATTTAAAATGTATATCATACTAATTCTTGCATGCATTTTACTTTGAAAATTTAAAATATCATCCTCTTACCTTTTTTCTAATTTCTAAAAACTCTTTAGAAAGGCATTCTGAAAAATTTGGTTTATCCCAAAAAGCTCCACTTTCTTTTTTCAAGACACATTGCCTTTTAACATTACCTAAAATAAAATTATGAAAATCAGTTTTTATGTAAAGGTTTAAAAAAGTATATATATATATATATTTAATATCTTTACAGTAATATATTTCTATTTTTTTTAATCTGCTAAATCTGCTTAAGAAATTAAAGTTTATTATATTAAAATGTAATTTTTTATGCATTTAATGAATCTGATTTCTGTACTTTTACACATTATTGAATCCAGCACTTTAAATATAATTATCTCATTTTTTAAATATTTTACTTCATTTTTTTTAAGTTGAAGTGAAATATTGTAATCTTAATTGCTTCTCAATGTGACTATGATAATGATAAAGTTATGATTTTAATGTGATTATTCATTTCAAAATATTTTCTAAAAATAGCATTGATATCAAATTCCATATTGAATAATCAAACATTCTAGTATATATCCTATAATCAAAACAATCTAATATTAACTTAGATTTGCTCTTTCTTTCTTTTTGATGTAACAGAATACAAAAATTATGCTCAACACCATTTTTCTTCAACCAAAATAATCTTTTTTGTATTTTAACCATCATTTAGTTTATAGATATATGGTTCAAGACTATTTTATTTTACCTATCATATGTTAATCCTATGCACTAATATCAAAATGCCCATAAAGTTTTTGACTTAATATATGATTTTATCTGTAGTGTTAATAAAGATAAGAAGTAGTGGAATTTATGAATTTTATTGAAAAGAATCATAAAAAATATTCAGGATAATTAATTTTGAATTTTAACAAGATGGCTTTTCATTTGTCAAGTGCTTCAAACATACAGTTTTGATTTCTGAGATAATAGTTTAAACTGGATTTATTTTGTGTTATTTATGATTGTACATTTAGTTTTATGTCTCACTTAGCAAGTTATTTTTTTACAGAAAAAGTGTTTGAAATAAGAACTGGCATACATTATTAAAGGAAATAAATTTTATTAACAATTTTATTATTGTTTTATTTATTTGTCAAAACTGTATCTTCTTCTTGTTTTGTTTGGTTCAATGTCACGACTTGATGAATTTATTGACATGTATCTATATAAATTAAAAGTTGATGATGAAATTAGTTGCCAAGCATCAATAAATTCACCAAGTCATGACATTGAACCAAACAATTTTATTATTATAGTAGAGAGTCGTTTATCCGAATCAATTGGGGACTGGGGTTGTTCGGATAACCGATTATGTACAAAAAAATATATTAACCTATCCCATGTTGAAATTTTTCTCCGTTGCACATTGCTTCACATTGAATTTTCGTTGATGTTAAGCCTAACGTAAATTTTTATAATAATAATTGTGGCTATTGTATCATTAAAAAATCATCAAACAAAATAAATATATTGAAAAATGTGAGATCTGCGATTTTTACGTAGTTGTCGGAAAGGAATTGTAAACAACTCCGATAGAAAAAACACTCCTGGTGAAAATTATATTGGAGGTCACCATTTGTTTTCACAATTAAGTGGGAAAGTTGACACTTGGGTGATCGGAATGCACCATTAATGTCAACAGCAGTCAATCAGGTGGCTCCTTTCCCACAAAGACAGTATAAAAGCTCAAACCCCTGGAAGCTCAGGACGATCCAAAGGAAGTTATACTCGTTAATGTGTGCATCTTATCTCCATACACCAGACGCCAATGAATGAAAGGAGAAGACATCGACATATGGCAGACCATAACTTCGAACTTCCATACTTATCACCATACTACAGTTCCTGTGCCAACTACAATTCCTATGACCCATTCAACGCACGCATATCATTCATTTCCTCATAGAGGTATTTGTATTTTAGAGCTTTGTGAACTCTCTCTCTCGAAATAGCCATTAGAGCTGTTAAGAGCAGCCCTTGTATAGTTAATTCATATTTAACCGCATTTAAACTTTAATATTATTATCGCCTCATGTAACCTAGCTTATTTATCCAATAAATGCTTTGTTATTTTTGTTAAGCCTGTCTATCATTGTTCTAAGGACGCCTGCTGGCTTACCGACGCACTCCCCACTCACATTTTTCCTCCTAAGCCATCCGACAATCCAAGTCTAGGTTTCACCAACCTGTTGCAGTGTAAATGGTCATTAGGGATTGTCCCAGTGGCCCCCTGCTAGTCGCACAAAAATATAAAAACAAAAAAAATTATACTTTAGAAGTTAATCTAGTATGAAAAATGTTTGATTCAGCACAAAACACAGTTCTCAGAAAAACACCACACAAAAGTGCCAATGCTGCCAGCTAAAACACACACACCAACAAAAAATATTGGAGTAACCCAGATATAGCCAAAGGTTGCAGCACCATAGCACTAGCAGAAATTTAAATTTGCCAACTGGAATGCTTTTGGTTAACCAACGTTTCAGTTGACCGGCTTTTGGATAAACAACGCTCTACTGTATAACTAAACACACTCAAGAAAACCTTTTAAATATGCAGCAGTATTTATTACATTCTAACGTTTTTGATCATATTTAATGACCTTTATCAAGAATAAATGGGAAAAAAAAGAAGAAAAAATCGAACTCCTAACTAAAATTTGAATTAACGATACAAGCGTTTTGGAATGTTTTTAAAAGGATATTCTACAGGAATAAAGAGTGCCATCTCTACATAAAGGCTGTCATTATATAACCACCATAGCTATTAGAACGTTAAAAAGTATGATGTTCAAGATATAAAATAACAGCAAAAATAAAAATAGAAACATATATAAAATACCAAACATAAACAATGTGATGCGCAAATACATTAATTTAAGAGTCCTTAATTAAGTTGCCACTTTGCCATTGTTCTAGACGTTTATAATATACTTGCTCGCCAGGCTGCCGATACTTTGCTTGCATCTCGGAAGTTGATAGCTAATCCTTTTTGGCTGGTTTTGGCAGATATGCCAGGCTTCAGCATACCGGAGGTGCTTTTTGTCATGAACTATTTGTATCAAGCTAGCTCGGTCCCATTCAGCTTTGACCTCTTGGGGGTCAGCTAAGATGTACGTCGCCAGCACTGTGCACGGCTGTCCACTTCTTATGTTTCTCTGGTGTTCTGACTGTATTTTTGTTACATGATTTTACAATGTCATTACAATTTCTGAAAAAGTGTGCTTCTAATTGTAATATTATTATAGATTTTCAATTTAAAAGAAATGATACAAGTGAAATATCCAGCCAAAAGAACCCTAAGTGAAATATCCAGCCAAAAGAACCCAAAATACCCAGCCAAAATAACTGAATCATATGAATTATGATTCAGTTATTTTGAAAAATATATCTATGATAATATTAAACTCTACAAAATTTCAAAATACACAGAAATCAAAGAAATTGTTTTTGCATTGAGGGAAAAGTAAATACAATTTGCAAATTGTCTTTACTTTTTCCCAATACAAAAACAACTTCTTACTATAACAACTATTAATTCCTAAAATCTCAGAATTTTCACATTTTACTCGGAAATTATGCAATTAGATTGTATCAAAGAGATTGTATTATTAGAATACAATGACTGAAATCGTTAATGACTATGATGTTGTGTTGTAGCAATTTTATAAAGTTTTTCTGTTACATAATAAAAGGTAGTGATGCTGATGTCAACCCCTTAGGGAACCATTAGTCACAATGATCATTTTACTCTCCCCTTTTAACACTGACCTTCCACTAGACAAGTTGGGTTATCTTTGTTCTTTGTTCATGTAACCAGTTCTATAAGTTTAACTAGTTATATCACAATCTCTGACAAGCTAAACAAATCTAACATAGTAATTTGAAAATTTCTATTTTTATCAAGAAATTATGTTTTAAAACATTAGAAAATTTATCATCAAACGGATTGTGAATTATTATTTTCAATAAAGTTATTTCAAGAGGTAAATCAATTTTTTTAAATATTTAAAACAAAAAAATTAGTAATATTCTAAAATTAATACCTGAATACCCCGATGGACAACGATGTATATCTTCTGTGTTAGCAGCAGCCAAAGACCAATTTATTTTCATGAATTTTTCAGGAGAACATGTAGGAATCTGTCCTTTAACAAACATAATTAATATTATTTAAGGCTATATATGAATTTAAGTTTATTACTGTAATATTTTATAACTTTTTGAAGTAATAAACATTAATTGGCTTAAATTATAAAAAAAATCAACTGTATTGCTGTTATAAAAGATTTAATTTATTAAGTGATAAAGACTAATAAATATAACTGTAAACTAATTATACTTTAATGAAATAAGCACTCAATAAATAGGAATAATAATTTTAATATAAAAATACACTAAGAAATTTATGATTTGAATAATTTTTTTGCACTGTTATTAGATTTTTATTGATTCAAGATATATAAATTAAGGAATATAAAATACACATTTATACAAATAGAAGTAAGATCACTTTAGTAATGAAAATATTGGTGAGAACAAATGGTAAATTTGGATTATGATATTAAAATACCGTATTATGTGAGGATAAGAATTTTTAAAACTGATAAAGAGAAGCTTGGAATATCCTGTTTAAACATCTCAAAGCCCAATGTTATTAATCTAAGTCAAACGATTGCCGCAATGGACCAGATTAATAACATCAGACTTTGAGAGGTTTAATGCAGTGATTATTTGGCTTATCCTGTTTTATATTTATATGCAGAAAAATTATAATAGTTGAATAATTAAATATCAAACCTTGCTAAATTTATTGTATTTTATTTATAATTAGCATAAGTAATTTAATGCTTAGAGAATTAAACTACAAATTGTCATCTGTTGAAAACTTTAGTAATTAATAAATTTGAATTTAATTTAATTTAAATGTCCAAAAAATTATTTGCCTGAAGAGAAATGTAAACAATTTTAACAGATAAGGGTCTAACAAATTATACAATCTAGACTCTAGATATAAACTGACCAAGATATATATTAATTTTAGAATATAATCAAAGTAGTTATTTAATATTATGCTGGTGAATACATCTGATTGTTCACTAAATGGCAATTTCTGGCTATAACTATTCTTGCCATGATATAGGCTGGGAAGCTCAAAATCCTTTGTTACTTGAAATTAATATATTTCTTGTGCTCTAATTTTAACAACTTTTTTTATTTAGATAGAGTTAGATAGCCTAATAAACAGGATTTTAACAATTTGGAGGTCTTATCACACCAAGGCCAACCGAAAACTTTTTTACTTTTGTTTTTCATTTCAGATTTGAGTCTTTGTAAATTTATTATGGATAATTACAAGATTTAACATGAATAAATCTGAATCTGATATGAATATTAGATAGCAAAATATGTACAATATATAACTGTTTGAAATCTGCTTTTAAATCGCTGAAAGCATATTTCAGCAAAGTGAGACTATGGATCACACTGCTGGAATTAGTAATAAAGATTCCAATACATCTTTTCACACATCACTTAATCTCATACTTTGAGAAATTAACTGGTTGCTCCATTTGGCTACTATAACCACAGATTTTTTTTTGTAGTTTCCTAAAAAGGATATGTGTTTATTAAACAATCATGAAAATTCAAATTTCTTGAATGATAATAATTGATATGACTTACCTCATCTAATATCTGGGATATAAGACTATATTAACAATAAATATGTACTACATAAAACTGGATTAATTAAGTCCAATGCACCCAAAACAAACTTTCAACTACAGTTTATAGAAAACCAGAGTATAAACCACTATTCATTCCAATAGAATCTAGAGATCTGTATATATTTAAAACATCAGCCTATAGAGCACTAGTCAAAAGAGCATTCTCGCACTGCATCAAACATCATTGACAGAGAGATTGAACTAAACTACATCGCAAGCATAGAGAAACAACATGGGTATCCTTCCAGCTTTGCCCAAAATCTCATCCATAAATATCAATCTGGGTACGCATCTAAGAAGAACATATCTAAAACCCACAAAGTTGTCAGGTTTAACCTGAGAACAAACCAACTTAGTCTTTTCTACATGAGAAATCCAACTATATTCTCTTTATTACAAAATTGCATTATAGACAACAAATTCAACAAAAAATGGGTCTATATAGGAGCAATGGATCAATCTCTTTACAAGCATATCAAGGAGCCCATTACTCTATCCAAAAGGGCCTTTCCACCACAACATTAGCAACATTTGCATCTGAAAATGATATAAGGGTACTTCTTAATGAAACAAGATTAATACATCCTAGTAGAAACTGGACTTATCTAAAACATCTAGAGATCCTCAAATATACAAGCTAATTAAACAGCCATAAATTACAGGCAAATGACACGGAGATCTATTTTTGAAGTAAGACTATAAATTAAATCTTATTACTTAAGAAAACAATCATTATTTTTTATGTTGGCATTTTTCAACCAAAATGAAATAAATGCTCCATGTGTTTTAAAGTGAAGTTAAAATTTTTACATTAATTTTTGAATGGTTTTAACCTGAAGATAACGATTTAAAAATTGTCAAAAACATTCGTTTTTTTCTTTATTTTTAGTAAGTATAATTTGTGCTGGATATTTCTGATATATTAACATTTGTTGGACTATATTAATTAACTAAAATTATGAAGAGTATCATCACTAAAGTAAGGATATATCAAAATAACAATAGTTATTGTTTATGGAAAATTTTAAGAAATGATATGCAAAAATCTTTCAAAACAATACAGAACAAATTGTTGTCTACAAAATTAGTTTTCATTAAATATTAAATAAGATATAGTAATTAAAAACAAATAAGGACTAATGGATAACCTTGTTTATGTAATGCAATTTCTGTTAACAATTTGGACTGAATAATTGTCCAAATAAGTCCGAAATGCATTTGACAAACCAATAAAAGAAGTTCCTAACCTGAAAGCTGTATATGATAGTCTACCGAACTGAAAATCGGATTAAAGAGACACATTCACGACTTAATTCATATTCTTTAATCATTAAATTACTTAATCAGCTTAATTATAACTTAATAAAAAGCAATCTAACAAAATGTAGCATTTACTAGATTATATATTTATATTAAATATATAATCTAGTAAATATTATTAAATAATATTGAATTATTAGTAATAATAAAATTTTAGTAAATAATATTAAATAAAGTGTATCCAAATATAACAAATATCTTAAAAAATGCTTTGAAAAGAAATTAAAAAGATTAAAGTAATATTTCAGTAATTAAGAAAGTTGATTTTAAAGAAAGTGATTAATATTCATCTGATAAATTTTATTAAGATAAAAAAAAAGAAAAATTTCATATTTAAAGCATCCAAATCTGAAAATATTATATAATTGAATATCATATTTTGAATATAGAATTTTATAAATATTTGATGTAATAGATTTATAGAACTTTTTATAATTTTATTTTATAACTATTTATTCACAAATTCAGATTAATTAATAATAATTTGTATATAAATAAATATAGGCCTATTAAGTGATAATGAGATAAAATGTTATGTAATAGGACGGAGGATACTTTAACATATGTATTTCATATTAAATCAAGTGACCATATATCTTGTATTGTATGAAATAGTTCTGTATTTTGACCTTGTGTCATGTTGTCCTTAATAGTTACTGCCAAAACACCAAAATGTCTTGTATTTTGAAGAATTCCAGGGAATTCTCTCTATAATCCCAATTCTTTTAAGAGTGTGCATATTAGCAAGTAAACAATTGCTGCTGCTGTTCATTAGATGTTACTTTTATTGATATAGAAGTGAAGTGAGGCTGTATGTAACATTTTTGGCATCCTCATTCTTCTAATTGGCAACAAGCACTTTGCTACATAATCAGGCAAATAAAAGTACCAGTACCATATATTGCTGTATATGAGACTTGCTGGAATAAATAATAATATAAATAATTATCATTAATATCACAAAATATACCTTCAATACAGATGCATGATTTTACAAATTTTGCTGGAAAACAAATCATTGCTGTGAAAGATACATTCATTTGAAAAGTACAGTACACAGCCTAGAGTATTGAAAATCCTACAGCATTTGTGTATATTATAGTAATAAAAATAAAAGTTGCATGGTTTTTGAAATTTGCTTTTTACTATCAAATTGTAGTCTTTTTATTTTAACTATGACATATGCAAATACTCTGAGAAAGAAGGCACTGGGTTCCCTGTACATGAAATCCTTGTTAATTCAAACTCGGATAGTTCAAAATCCTGTTAGTTTATAATTTTACTATTTGCCACGGTCAAAGATATAGAAATTTACATGTTAAGGAATTTGGTTAGTTCAAAATATGGTTACTTCAAAAATTCTGTCTGAACTGATATGCATATGTTAACTTATTCATTTAGATCAAAGTGCTTCCATACTATAAGAGAACAATAGTCCTAGAACAACTCTAATCTGGTCAATATGGCTTTGCTTTTACAGTAACATATTTATGGATGTCACCTTATCCATGAATTATCCTTTTTACTATTATCTCATAAAATATGGCTGGGTTTCAGGATTGAAAGATTGGGCTACAACTAGCATATAGAGATATTTGTAGGGCTCTAGGCTAATACAATTTGGGTGACTTACTTACTTTTGTGTCACTTTGAAAATAATTTGGGCTACATTTTGAGGAGTTCTGTTTTCCTTTTTATAAAACCTATCTCATAACCCGTGGGGTTCTCACCAGACACATTCTGTTCACCTGCAGTTTATTTCTATTATTATTAATTAATGAAATTAGCATTTTGTATACATAACTGTATTCCATTTGCTTAATAAATTACATCAGTTACATGGCATTTGGCATATTATACAGAAATATGTAAATCTTGGATAATTTGAATTCAATAATTCAAAGTCACAATTATTTCATCTTTTGAATTTCAAACTAATGAGGATTTCGTGTATTGACTAAACCAAAATCTGGTCAGTTTATATTAAAATACTATATTATAATATACTGAATATAACTATTAAAAATAGAAGAACTATATCTTCTGAAAATAGTGCTACTTTATTTTGAAATAACACATTCTGTGTTATTTTAGCTTACTGAGTTTTCAATTAGTTAATAAAATTAAACATTGTATTAAGTTTAAATTTTAGATTACTTCTAAGGTTAATATAACATACTTACTATCAGAAGTAAGAACAGTAATGACACTATCTTTACGTATTGCTCCTGCACTACTAGTAATAATACAAGTATATACAGTAGAAGTTATAATAGATTGTAAAATTATACGACTGCCAGTTGGAAAAAGATCTTCAATTAATTCTGGTTCTGAAGATGGATTTAATATTTTGCCATTCTTTAACCAGTTATAACCAAAATTTCCATATACACTTTCTTCTGACAAGCAAGTTATAATTACATTTTCCCCTTCTTTTACTGTTGCTGTTAGAGGATGAATTTTTGGTTTAGGAGTTGAAGTAACAGTTACAGTAATATTTTGATTTTGTATGATTCCCCAATCAATAACTTCACATGTAAATACACCTAGAAACAATAAAAATAGAAATATTTTCTTGTTTACTAAAATCATTATTTTAATTACTATTAATTAAAAGTTTAAGTTCACATAAGCATATATTCATATATTATAGTTTAAATAATTAAAACAATATAATAAAAAAGTAACAAAATTAATTTAAAATATTAATTAAGCTGTTATCTATTCACTATTAAAAATTTAAATTATATTATATCTGTATGTGATCTATTATTAGTAAATGTAAAACCTTCTCTAAAGCAATCAGTGAATGTGAAACAAACTGTTTATTTTTAAAATAATAAATCCACATTCACTAATGATTGTATACTCTTTCTAATGTATTTGTTTGCTATGAGATGAGGTTGTGAAAAGTAAAGTTAAAAGAAGACAAAAGAAATCTTTTAATTAACGTTTTTATTTATTGCAGCAAGTGAAAGAGTTGTGACATTTAGAAGTATATAAAGTGCCATTCTTCTTACATTTACACTTCATAATCTGGCATTTCAAAGTGCAAGAATATTTTAAAAAAAGCCTTATCCTGTACAGCAAGATTAGATAGATGCAATTGTCCTTAAAATAACAGTTTTATCTGAAGAAATTCACATTCAGCAATCAATTTTTCAGGGCAAGCCAAGAATTAAGAACTTGAGAACACTGTAGTACAGTTCACTTGTTATTTTAGTGAAGGTATACAGTAAAGCCACTGACCATCTGCTTTCACTGTAAGATACACACCATTAGCACTGGATGGTCAAATAAAAATAGAACTTGTAAGAAATAGCTTGAGACACTTGGCAACCTTTCAGCTAACCATGTTCACTGAATCACTGGCTGAAGGAGTCACAACTCTGACATGAAAGTTCTATTTTTATTTATTCACTATGTACAAACAGCTTGTTTAGATTTAGTTTAATATTCAATATTGAAATATTCACACATTTGAAACTTTTTCATCTGGAATATCATTATGTAGTAGTACTTTGTCATCAGGATTGATTTCCTGTGGGGGCAGAGATGGAGCAGAACATTTATTTAGTGGAGAAAGGGTTGTGTGCACATTTTATTATCAAGCAAACTAATTTTTACAATTTAGCAATCAATTTTCAGCCAGATACATAAGCAGATAAAAGTTTAGTAAAAATTACAATTATTTGGCAAACAATCAATTTGTAAAGAAACCATCCAATAATGATATACAGTAAAGATAGACTTGAATAAATTATTTCAGAGAGGGCAGACAGATGGACGAAGAGATTTTAGAGTGGGTTAGGGCCAATCGTTACTCCACCCTACCACCATTTATGTCTGTCATACTTCTGAATTAGTTTGTTATATCATAATATTACAATCTAAAACTAAGTTTGTCTGCTAATTTTAGATTCTAACATCAATTTTTCAGATAAGAGTATTAGAATTATGGGAAATTTAGCAAAATAATATTTGTGCACTTGTGCTATAAAATCAAGTAGAACTTATATATCTAAGAACAAAAATTCTCTCCATTGTTCTCTCATTGTCACCTGGTGACAATTCGAAACCTAATGAAGGGCGCGGGAGAGGTCAACGTTGCGACTGAATATGATTCCTCTCTCTCGTCGTGTTTTCCTTGAATTTATCTGTTTCCATTGTTTAACTAATTTACCAAAAAAAAAAAAAAACAATTGCATTGTTCAATCGAGACACCTAATCAGTTTCCTTAGCGCCTGAAAAGGAGCTCTTTATTTTCGATCGACACCCCTCGTTCGGACCTCTCAATCGACCCCTGTTCGGGTCCTCACATTAATATTTCTTATACCATAAAATTTTCTTAAAATTTTTATTTAAAGAAATTCAAAAAACAAAAATTATTTTTTGGGCTTTCTCTATGTAATAAAATATTTTATAGAAATCTATATATATACATACATACATACATACATACAAATCATATATATAAATTCAATTTTTAAATTGTTTTAAAATCTATTTTTATCTTACTTTCAATAAACTATCACTCAATCCATAACAAAAGCATTTAAATGTAGTTTATTCAATATAGTTTGTTCAACACTTCAATCTATTTTAAATCTTATTTTCATAACTTGAAGATATATTATTCAAGTTTTTTCTTTCTTTTTTTTTCATAAAGATCCTTTTAGAATAATGGAAACATAAATTTTGTTTGTATTATTATTATGTATTTGATGTATGGGAATTTTGTGACAGCTTTTATTCATGTAAGTTTAAAAATTGTAAATTCTTTCTGAATTTGAAAATAAAAATACTTATTGAAATGTCAAATTCCACATTAAAAAATGTATAGCATCTGCATTATCTTGTGTTAAAATTGCAGTGTTTCCTGTAGATCAAAATCCATGGAGTATCAAAAAAAAAGTATTGTGACAAGGACTCAATCACTGACCAATAACATATGCACATAATCAACAAACAAAAATCTTTATTCTAACAGCATGATAACACAGTGGGATAATTACAACAACTTGATTTGCACAATATATCTAATTCACAACTTAAACTTAACAGATTTACAAGACTATATACACACTTCCATTTCCTCATTTACAGTTAACGTATATACATGGTAGCCCTTAGCGGTCCACAATAATATACTGTATTAGTTGTAAATGTGACACAGACACATGCATTCAAAACACCAATATCACAAAACTAATAGTTCTTGCAACCTCAATGTAATTCAATGCACAAGATGTATATCCTTCATTGCAATTCCTTAATTTCGGTTCGATGGAAATGGATTGTACTACTCAAATTGAAGTTAGTCCTTTTGTCTAGATCAGGGATGTCCCAAGGCAAGTTCCAATGAGAAACAATAAACGTGTAAACGAAACCGAAAATTTTTAAATTTTTATTTATTTATTTATTTCAACGGCATTAACTCAAAAAAAAAGTTTCATAAAGCCATAAACCTTTATTCATATTTTATTTTTGAGTGGAAAGGAAATATTTTCAAATACTTGGAGATGTGTGAATAAGAAAGAATTACTAAATAAAGCTGGAGTTGTGACTCAAAGAATTATAGACCCAAATTTGGGGAAAGGAGGGAAAGGGGAGAAAGGACAAAAGATAAAAAGTAGTGAGAAAGGTTAAATATATCTTCTGTTATGCAAATATTGACCCATAATTTTCCAACCTTCCTCACTTCTTTATCTTTTGTCCCTTTCTCTCCATTCCCCGCATTTGGGTTTATAATCCTTTAAGTCACAACTCCAGCTTTATTTAGTATTCTTCCAGCGTAGCAAGATTTGGCTACATTGTACCAAATATGGCTACTTTTTTGTAGTTTGACGTAAAAAATATCATTTGGCATTTTGGCTATATTTTGAGCTACATATTATTTATAAATATATTAGCTGAATAAAAAATGCACTTTAAAATGGTGCTTCATTGCTTTTTATTAATTAGAGACCCAAATAAAACAAATATTTGTGTTTTTCAAATAAATTTTCGTTTGTCTCCTTTATAATAAATGAATTTATCTATTTCTAAGTAAAAATTGAAAGTGTCTGTAAAAGTAATTTTTTAAAATATCCTTTTTTGTGAGTTTTAATACTTATTATTATAATCTAGACATGTTAATCCTTAAATATACTTTTCCTTTTGTATATTGGGCCACAAGTATATATTATATATACTTGTGGCCCAAAACTCCTTGACTTCTTCCAATGTGGCCCAGAGAAACAAAAAGATTGGACACCTCTGGTCTAGATTATCATCTCCCGATTCAGCTTGGAGGTTCTTGCTGACTTCTCACATGGCTAGCATCCCTGAAGAATCCAAAAAGCAAGAGAGCACAAATTCACAGTATAAGCAACTTATACTATGACAAATTGTGAATATTCACTAATTTATACTTTCTGCTCTCTCGAAGTCAGCTTCTCTGATGTGTCACATCCCTGGACCAATCAGAAAGCTTCTGATTGTTCCGTGGCAGCTAAGAGGTGACACTAGGACAAACAAGGGAAAGTGCATGTGCCACCATACAATACAGGAAACACAATACAGAAAAAAACGTAACATTAAAGATATATGAAAAAAAATTAATAATAATAGAACATAGTCAATAGCGCTACAAAATAATTTCACTAATTATATTATAAAAATTATATTAAATGGGATTTATATATTCATAAACTAAATATTAAAAGCAATTCTAATGTAACCATTCTGAGAATAGGCCATTCATTATACTACATTATACTAATTTAATTACAAAATTATCAACATCACATTCTTTCTTTCAGTAAACATAGATTAGAATCTATACTAAAATTTTTTTGTATTCATTAACTCAAATATAGATTTTAAATTAGCTTGCCTTAATTTTATATTGGGTGAAGTTATCCCTTCATTTCTTCTACCTTCCCACTGTCCTATCTCTCTTGTCATTTCCTTAGTATTATGTTAGGTTTTAGTTACGCAGTTATAGAAGATTAATTGTTATGTGCCTGGAGATTTTTACTATCGTGTTTTGTTGTGAAACAAAAGGTTTTCTGTTTAGTACACCTTGTACTGTAAAAATTTCTTACAAACTAGTTAGGATTCCTTATAAAACCGAACTTGTTCGTAGAGAAATAAAGGAAAGTGTATATTCTAGTAGTTGTTGCAAGTTCCTTTCTGTACGTTTCATCTGTGGATCATACTGTCTCACCTATATGAACACCACAGTGTCATCATTTCCTAACAGAGAACTGAGATTTGTTGCTAAAAATGACACAATGCCAGTCCATAGCAGTCCATGCTTCTCTGTCATGGTACAATTGCAAACAAAGCGGACAATGTTGTCATGCTAATGGTAGGACTCGTATTGGTCATTGTTCATGTAAATTTGTCTCTGCTAGATGCAATGGTAAAGAAAAAGAGAGAATTTTGTAACAAGGCTTTTACCTATCTTTGAATGATTTACCAAGGTGCCATTGTGGCTGTTAGCAGTGGCAGATCCAGAAGAACCCAAAGGGAGATTAACTCAAAAATGAAAAATATTTGTTTAATTACAAGTACCTTTTATTAACGTGTACAAGATGATTGTATTGCAGATTGTCTTATAAACCACATTTGCCATCTTAAATGTTTTTAAAAATAATGTTTTGAAGTTCAAACAAAAAAATTGGAAGGCTTAAGCCCCTGCTGAGATCTGTTTCTGCTGTTAGTGCTTATCTCACATTGAAACTATTATCTCTCTTGATAATCTGTCTGGGCATCTAGACCCCATCCCCTGTATAGGTGTCCTGATATATTCACCACTTCCAAAACCTGCTCACAGTCTGGTCAGAATGGTCCAGAAGACATACAATTTGGCAAAATGGCCATCCTGCTATCCTTAATCCAATGATTCAGCTTTTCTCAAACTGCATCAGCTGTGCAAAATTTTTTGACTGCATTGTACAGGCATTTCTTGCATTAGACGACCTCCAAACAACAGGTACTACATTACAAACTCTGAATACAATGAATTTTTGCAAGCCTTTTCATAGGATATTAGGGTAGCAATTATAAGGCACTCAGGTGACATTAACTGGCTTTCAATTGGCCTACAATTGTAATTATTTGTAAACCTGTCTGGGACATAGCTGTATGTTGAGTTTTTCAGTTATTGGACAATTCTACCTGGGTGGATACAAAACACAAAGAATATAACCAAAGACCATGCCTTTACTGTAACCATGCTCAACTGCAATTTTTTCTATGTGACGGAGCTCTAAAGGAGTGTCGTGCTCGTTAGTGTGGTTAGTGAAGGCCTGTATAACAAGCCCGTCTAACGAGTGCGACACCTGTTTAGAGCTCCGTCACATAGAAAAAATTGCCTTTGAGCATGGTTACAGTAAAGGCATGGTCCGCGAATATAACTAAAAAAATTCATAATGTTTGTAACTGCAGAAAGGGAGAAAAACTTTATTTTTATTTGAATACTAATTTTTAATAATGATTGGATAATTAAGTAATTCTCTTTGTGTATATTTTTATAAATATGAGTGTTCTATAAAAATTTACTAGATCATAACTCTTTTAGTATTGTTTTTATACCTTAGATAATGGAAAGATTTTAAATTATGATTAAATTATCAAATTTTCTTCTTCATTTAAAATAAAATACATAAAGAACTCAGTTTAAAGAGACAAATTATAAATTTATATCATTACCAAAACCTATATAAATTACAAAACATTTCACACAAATCAAATTACTTTAGTTATGTTTTGTTTATAACAGTCATCAAGAAAAATTAATTTTAATAATCATTAAATTAAAAGAAAATGAAACAGTCTGAAAAAATTTGGAATTCTTTCAAGAAGTTCTATTACAAATGACAAAACTTATATTTTCTAAGTTGATTACCTTTTCAAATTAATATTATTTGAAAGTTTCATTAGAATATTTTAGGTTTCTTTACAAAAAAGTATAAATGATTTAGCAATTACAAATTTCATCTTGTTCCAAAGATTCTAAATATATATATATATATATATTTATTTTTAAAACAAATTTAAGAAATATACTTAAATGTCACAAACCTGAATCTAATATATCAATTTTATCAAATCCTAGTATTGCTGTATATTGTTGCTTTGAATTTTTAGGTACAAGAGTCATCCAAATATTCCGATACAAAGTATCGACATTAATAGGTCTGTTATCCTTATACCATTTAACCTTAATATCACTTGATCCTTGTATAATACATGCTAAATTAAATTCAGTACCTTCTATTACTGGTATTCTTTCTGAAGCCTCCAAATCTTGAATTTGTAATGCTAATAAAAGTTCAATATAAATTAAATATATTTTAATATAGATGTTTAAAAGTGAAAGCAAAATTATTAAATTACATACGAGGTTCCGATTCAAATCGAAAATAATCATATGCCAAATGAAATTTTTCTATTCTTCCACTTTTATAGGCATCTTCCATTATACGTTTTGCTTCCGCCGAATCTTCTTTTTTTCCAAAAAAATGAAACTGAACTTCTAATCCTGATCTTAATAAATTGAAAAATAATTTAATATTTGAACAAAATTTAAAAAACAGATTTAAAAATTTATAACTTAAACTATTATACTTTTTCTGAGTTTCCTCTAAGAACTAATTAGTCCAAAACAAGGCAAGCATTGTTCTAAACTAATTAGTTCTTTTAGGAAACTCAGTAAATTAAGTGTCTCAATGTGGTTTCAAGATTGACTAATTAAATAACTTATTAATCTATGAATTTTATGATTCATCAATAATTGAAAATATTAATTAAAATTTTTGAAACAATACATAAAAATATATCTGTATGCATTTATGTCTGTATAATATACCTGTATAAAAAATATAATATAATATCTGTAGGTCTATTTATTTAAGCACACTTACAGAAGTTATATGTAGGTGTTACATATAACATCTATAGGTCTACTATGTAGGTATTACATATAATCAGTGTTTTATGCAGGTGTTATTTGAGTAGACCTACAAATGTACGGATGTTGTTATATGTCAGATGTTTTATTAATGAAAACTGAAAGAAAATGACATTTTCTTTCAGTTATTTCCTTTCAATTTTTATTAATAAAATCTGAAAAAAAATATATATATATATCTGCTCACAGTCTGGTC